GGGGGGGGGGGGGGGGGGGGGGGGGGGGGGGGGGGGGGGGGGGGGGGGGGGGGTCGTAGGCAGTTTTGACGAAAATGTTGAGAAAGACGGAATGTCGACGAAGCCAGTGACTGAAGAACGATGCAATGGCTGGTTTGGCGTGCGATGACAATGAGACCGGCCTGTGGCAGCGGCATCAGTTGTATTTAGGTTTGTTGAAGCTTCAGGCAAAAAAAATCGGACCAAATATCGAGCACCCGATGACCCGAAATAATTCATGCTTTCTTTTTTCCGATTGTAGGAACATGACTGCAAAATGTACCAAAATGTTCTTGATGTGCTATTGGCGTCAAGAGGGGTCACTCCCGTGTTAAAAGAAAACAATCGACCCCAAAGGAGTCCAGCCCTCGACAGACCAGGCGCGGGCGATGCAGAAAAACACGTGGGCCAGCCTGCAATCTCCGGTTGCCGTGAAAAAAACTCTCCTGTGAGAGCCGTAACAGATCCTGGCTTCTCTGTGAAAGTGTTGGAACACATTTTCTGAGAACCGTGTTTCTCACTGTTGTCTTGCGGAGCCCCAATGACCAACCACTACTGTACTGCTGCTGGTTCGCTCCGCCTGCTGTTGCCGGGATGCACCTCGGGACACGACTTGAATCGATAAGACAGCACCATGGATTCATCGGCTCAAAGGCTTGGGATGTTGTGGGCGTGCGGCGTGAGGCTGTCGAACGCTCTCCTCTCAGCAGGCAGCCGAGCGAGCGGCCCGTGCGCAAGTACAACCTTTACTGCAATGAACGAAAACCAACGCACCTGGTGTCTCCCCCCTCCTAACGACAATGCCCAGGTCTCGGTATCCCACAGTCAACTCACCGGTCGAGGTATGCTCTGTAGGTGAAGCGGCGACGGGGGAGACAGAGAGTCAACTCACAGACAGCAGGCGACTGAGTTTACAGGTGATGAGGTTCGGCCGCGGGGAGATTCATTGGCGCTCCGGGGGGCGCGCGAGTAAGTACGGGGCCCTGAATCTCATTGTGCTGAGCCCCTTCGAGGCCGCAGCCTGGCTCTGCCCGCTGCTGTCTGTGGTGGACCAAGAACATTGGAAACCGTAGAGACGCCCATGAAGAAGCCGAGAGGGTACATGAAAGACGTAAGCCAAGAAATCGGTTAGCCCACCAGGCACCTCTCCTCCCTTCGATGCTGCAACGCCATAGAAACAGCAAAGCCAACAGCAACCGGAACCACGGCAAAGATGTCTCGACAGCAGCAGCGGCAGCAGCAGCGGCGGCAGCAGCGGCGGGGCGACGAACACGAAAGATAGTAACCGTAGGCCGCAGGAAGATTTGGATTGTGATCACCTCCTTCGTTGGCTGCTGCTTCTGCATATGGCTTCTCTTTTCCTTGTACGTCGCGAGCTCCTGGGAACAGTCGGAAGCGAGGCGTGCGGTTCGTTCCGGCAATGTGCGGGACTTCCAAGGCATCACGAGAACGAACAGCAACGAAACCAACAGCGGCAAACCTCGGATAGCGATCATATCGAACGCCGTAGCCTTCCCGTTTGGGTCGGCTACGACGGCGCACTGGAGCCTCTTTAAGGAGTACTTTGCCAACAAGGACTGCTACGCGAACACCCATGGCTACGACCTCATCATTGACTCCAGGTCAGCCAGCACACTTGAGCGGAATGGTGATTTTTGAATCTTGCTCGGTTTCTCCGCGCACAGCAGTCTGTTCGTACTGCTGTAGTTTGGAACAAGGTGTGTGTGGTGCTTGCTGGCTGTCTGGCTGTATTGACGAGATGAGATTATAGACGAAAGAGACAGACTTCCAACAGGCCCGCTTGCTGGATGGGCGAGACAAGACGAGATTCTAGTCCGAAGAATCTGACATCAAACATGATCCACCAGACCGGCAGCAGCCAATCCCGCCCCGCCCCCGCGTTCGGTGATTGCCATCGGGATTGGGTTTTCGTCGCTTGGCAACGACGTTGTAAAACAAACCAATTCACTTCGTGAACTCGGCAACCAGGTTACCCTTTGTTTTTTTTTACCTCTGTTTTTTTTTGGCGGTAACCATAATGGTGGTCGAGTAGATCATGTCGTGTGGGGTCGAGAACCCTCACTCCGCGCAAGGGGGGATGATCGCACCACGTTGTGTTAAAATGGTCAAGCGCCCTCGAGGCAGCTACACAGTGCTTACAACTGTCTCAGAAAGTGAAAGCACCTGGACATAAGTTAAGTCATACGCAGCTGTCATCCGTACGCAAGGAAGGAAGCACAAGGTGCCGAACATCTCACGGCGCTTCGCGCTTGGTGATGTGAGAGCCTGGTCCGGTGAGAACCCGGCGTGCTCCGTCCCGGCTTGTAGGGATGCGAGGTCAATGGTCTAACGACTACGGCATGCACGACTATGAGTACACCCCCCCCGCGCGCGCCTCATCGCCGCTGCTGTTGAAACGGAATGTTACAAGTTTGGTCTCCCCCGAGTAAGTTGGTTCCGGTGTTGGATCGTGCATGGTGGAGTGCTTGTCCACCAACAACGCCGCTGCTGTTGCCACAGGGGTGAGAACTTGCCCATTCCTCCCCCAAGACCAGACTACGGTTACAAGCGCTACATATTAAAGTACTCAAGAGCTTGGCAGTTACGAAACCGATGCATGTAGTCTAGCTCCAAGAAGATCAAACTCTGAGAAATATGAGCGCGATTTTTGATGTCGGTTACGAGCCCCAGACGCTACATGAATCCTTTACACTGCTGTACAGCGGCCATTCGTAGCGTAACCCTACGAACTATGTATGAACCCCACCCTTGTCCAAAAGTAGAGGTTCTCGAGTGCGGGCGCTAACTGTAGACCATAACCTAGATTGATGTGCACGTTGCTTCTGCCAGGAACCATGTGAACGGGATGGGTTTCTACACCGACGAGAACGGGCACAGAGGCGGCACGAACGTGCACTTCAACAAGCCCTACCTCATCCGCAAGTGGCTGCCGCACTACGACTGGGTGCTGTGGCTGGACATGGACGCTCTGGTCGTGGACCTCGCGAAACCGATCGAGAAGTTCATCGAAGAGGTCGGAGGGCAGGTATGCAATAAAGCGAAAGGGATCGAAGGCCCTCGTGAGCCGTAGCGCCTGCCTCTTTGTGCCCAACAACCCCCATGTAGTCGTCTACCGTGCGATTGATTACTCCTCCCCCTACTCAGGTACCCAGACCGCTCTCTTGGGTGCGAGTTGCTCTTTGGGTTTACACTGTAATAGGCGGGGAGTTGGCACCCCCCACGCCCAGACCGATTTCCAAAGCTCGATTGCTCCACAACCAAGCGCGCATCATTACCGAAAATGCTGTTTTTTGGAAGCATCTTTGTCGAGGGCTTTCTGTACACGTATCGGGCTCTTTCCGCACACCCAGGGGGTGCCTGCCACCTCTCCTCCTACTACGGTATTTCTATCCCGTAGTCGCGTGTAAACAAAGGGTGTAGACTGTTGGTGTCCCGAGAGACATATAGCAGCACCGTGTTGACGGTGCAAAGTGGCGCTCCTTGCTGTGGGGTTGAGCGTGCTCTCGAACACCGTTCGTTTCTTTCCTGGCGTCCCACCCGGCCGATGGTTCTACGGGAAAATGCTGGGAGCACTTCATGGGCCCATCACCGGTTCCGCGGGCATGAGTCAAAGCGTTACGCTGGCACGACAGCAGTAGACTGCAGTCCATTACAAGTAGCAGCTCGGAACCGCGGTGTTGCGAGGTCTACCGCTTCAACAGCATGACATGCCCACGCCTTTTGGGTTGGGGCCAGGGGACAATGCCTGCTTGTGGCCGAAACAAGTCCGGCTTGAGTGTTTGGTTGAGGTCCTTCTTCCACCGTGAGTTGTTTCTCCTTCCCGCCTTCTCCCGGTCGCTCCGTTGATGGGCCACTCTGCTCTGCTTGCATCTTGACACATTTGCCAGGATGGCGACATCCACGTCCTTGTTCCCCAAGACCAGAACGTGCAGTTCTTCTTTAGCGCCTGCTCTCTGCTCTTGCGGAACAGCCCGGAAACTATGGAAATGGTGAGGAGGTGTTTTTCTGGGGGGAGGGTGTACTAATGTAAACGCATGTCTGAGTCGTTAGACCATTGACCTCGCATCCGTACACATGCCGGAATGGAGCGATATGCCGGTTTTTTGCCGGCCCAGGCTACAGTACGGTTCACAAGGATGAACCAGAATCTGGTTATGATCCCTACGTTTGCTGTTCCAAACCAGACGTGCCATGGAGAGGCGAGCGGGGGGCGGAAAGGCGGGTCGCATTATTGGAATATTGATCTTCTCGGCGTGGTAGTACGCGCCGAACGCCGAGTAGAACGCTCCTCTCTTGTCTGGTGTCGAACAATAAAGAAACAGGCGTGGGGGGTGGGGGTGACAACGGTGAAGATGGGGTGTTTTACGTATAGTGTGGCTTTGTGTGTGCCTAGGTTAATGTTTTTCATGTTGGTGTCGCTTTGTTTTGTCTGTCTGTGCCTAGATGAAGCTTTACATTAGGTGTGGATTGTCTGTGCCTTTCCGTGTAGTACCTCACTGCAAGCCGCCGAATACGGAGCCGGTGGATGTCCCGCCTGAGATGGCTTTGCCTTTCTTGACTCCCGCGCTCACGAACAAGCTAGTGAGCTTTGTATAACCCGACAGCGCCCCGGTCTGCGGGGGCTCGAATGTCCTTGCTTGCGCTGCGCCGATAGGTAGAAGACTGGTTTGCTCTCAAGGACACGTGCCCGTACGCGATGTACGACGATCAGAGCCGGCTCTACGCGGCCATCCTGAGAATGCAGCTCAGGTGTGCACCCATGGATATTTTCTGCCCGCAAAGACGATGCGCCCGAGAGAATGGGTCTGCTACGTCGCAGGCTCGACCACGGCATCGGCGGTGGGGCGTGTCCCCCCTACCCCCCACCCCCGTGTTTACGACGACTGTAGTGCAGAGGCTGCTGGTTATGTCTTAAGTCCAGTACGACAGACATTCCGGGTAACCCGTATCGTCGACAAATATGTACCGGACCCCCCCNCCCCCCCCCCCCCGCCCATGGCGCTCTCAATGGATGGATCGGGTGGGCGGACCGCATTCCCGTGTTTCCTCCGTCATCTCCTCTGTCTCCACTGCGTGTTAGGCGGTATGCAGCCAGCGCGTGAGCAGATATACCGACGGTTGTGGTTCCCGCACCGGCCATTAGCCTAGGTTTACTCCCTTGACCTGTGTGCTGTGACGTTGGCTTTCGCCTGGCACGTCGGTGCATGTCGTGTCGTGTGGTGTCGTGTCCGGCAACAACGTCTTTTCGCCCGCAAGGTGGAGAGGGCAGGAGGTGGATCGATCGGACTACGCCACGACGGACTGCCTGGACATGTGCGAGAAGAAGGAGACGCAGGGGGAGTTTAGCTGGTGAGCTATTCAGCTTATGG